AATTTATTTTAATGCAAAAAAATTTTGAGCTCCTTGCATGATTTTTTCATAATATGTATTTTTCATGAGCCTTTTGAAGACCTCTCCTATAACGATATCAGAATCAGCTTCAGAAATTCTCCAGAATTACTCCATCTCTACACCTCTAATTTACAGCATTGAAAATACATTAACAAGAGTTCTGGAATGCTCATTACCAGTCACCCCGAACGTTCACACCCTACATAACCATGGTGCATTTGTCCAGGTCAGCCTGGGCACGTCATTATTCCCTCAACTACATAGACTTTATCCAGATTTTACCACTTTTTTCATTGATGTTCATGTTCTGTTCTAGGATTCAATTTGCAATGCCAGGTTATATCTAGAGGGTAAACTTTTTTTTAGAGAGAGAGAGATTTTTGCTATAGGGCACATGCACTCGCTGGAGAGATGAAGAGAAAAAGAGAGACAGAAAGTGAGAAATCAGAAGCCAGCAGTTGGCATAATGGCTCTGTCACTAGACTCCCATGTAGTCGACTGCAGTTTGCGTCCCGGACCCGGTGGCTTAAACTCACACCGGGAGCATGTGCGTGTGTGCCCAAGATCCTGAGAGGAGAATGGAGGAGAAGGGATTGTGGCATGGCCATCCCCCCTTGGGGGGGGGTGATTTCTCGCTTTCTGTCTCTCTGTCTCTCTCTGTCTTTCTGGCCAGCACACACAGCCTATAGCAAAAACCCCTCAAAAAACAGAAAGGAAAGAGAGAAATCACCCCCCCAGTGGCAATGACCACATCACAATCCCTTCTTCTCCAGTCTCCTCTTGGTATTTTAGGCATGCACACGCTTGTGCCTGGCATGAGTTTCAAGCCACCGGGTCCGGGACTCAAATCATGTTTGACCACATGGGAGTCCAGTGCCTTAACCACTATGTCACTTGCTGGTCCCAAAACTATCCTTTAAAAGGGTGCTTTTTTTTTTTTCCTTTTTTGAATAGTTGGGTTCACCACTTTGCCATTTACTTATTCTGTTTTATTTTAACCAATGGAACAGTACCTACATAGCAACACTTTCATGAAACTAGCTCTCCTTTTCTTTTTTTTTTTTTTTTTTTTTTTTATTGTGATAGAGCAATGAGTTTTTTTGTTGTTAAATGTAAAGTGAAAATGGTGTGGGCTGGATGGAGGAGAAGAACAGCAGGTGAGAATTGTGTGAGCTTGGTCAGATAGAAAGAAAACCAGACTGTAATTCACGGGCCGGGAGTCCTCCTCCTGCTCCTCTATTGACAGTGCAAATGAACGATGGCAAATCCGTTCAACTTCCCATTCCGTGGTTGTGGTCCCGGCGAAGCAAGAATAACCGTATCTGTCAGAGACTCTTCACCTTCCGGTGATGTGGAAGAGACAGAGGAAGGGGGAGAGTTTTCACTGTCTTTTAAACTTTCTTATGAGGCCGCCACAGCAAATTCTGTGTGAGCTCTCCCTAAACGTCAGTGCACAGAAGACGTCTGAATGCATGTCTTGCCCAAGAGAGGAATTCAGTCTGCAATCTTCGGCAGCAGGAAATGAGCTTTGGGCACCTGAGGAAGGTGTAACGATTACATTGCTGGGCTCCCACATCGTCAGCCGTGGTCTGAGTCCCAGAACCAGTGGCTTAAGCTCACGCCGGGCGCATGTGCGTGTGTGCCCAAGATCCCTAGAGGAGAATGGAGGAGGCAGGACGGTCATGTGGCCATCCCCCTGGGGGGTGATTTCTCACTTTTTGTCTCTCTGTCTCTGTCTCTCTACCGAGTGCATGTGCCCTATAGCGAACACTCCATAAAACAAAAATGTTTTTCATATTTTATATTGTTACCTATTTAATTTATTTTACCTCATTTATTTTTTAATAAATCTTTGTGGCATCCAATATGGTGTTTCAAAGCATGCATGCCATGTGTGAACATCCAATCAGGGGTGTTACTGAATATATTGTTTTCAACAAAGATCCTTTGCTTAAGTTTTAATGGCTTTTATATTCTCTGAGAATAGTCCGTTACATTCCTGGTATGAATTAGTGTTTTGTTTTCTTTCTTTATCGGAGACAGACAGACAGAGACAGAGAGAGAGATTTCTAACAGGGTGTCACCCTGTCATGATCCTCCTAATCCAGCCTCCCCATTGGCCAGAACGACAGGGGCCTGGATACCTGCAGCCAGAATGTTCATTCCGAAGAGTAACTGCCGTGGGATTCACACCCCTGTTCAGCTTATTATGAATCCCTGGGGGGCACTTCTGTGGAGGAAGGAGGAGTGCTTATTCACCCGTCCACGTCCCACCGGCGTGGCCTCGTGGACTCCAGCTCTGGCCTCTCTGAGCTCTCCCCTGCCGTACTCTGTCTCTATCCCTCACTTGGAGACATCCTCTGAGCTTTCCTGACATTCTGATCCACTCTGAGATTACCCTTGCAGCCACTGCCAGTCCCTCCTTCACGCTTCATTTCATTATTCCCGGATGGCCTCATAGGTACCCGGCGTTCCCTCAACTAATCTGGTTATAAAGTCGTAGTGCTGTCGTCTACTGTCGGGTGGCTGAGAGGAAATGCCTGTGAATAGGTGATTTATAAGGACCAGCAGTTAGCGTCATGGCTACGTCGCTGGACTCCCAATGTAGTTGACCGTGGTTCAAGTCCCGGACCCGGTGGCTTAAACTCACGCCGGGCGCATGTGCGTGCGTACCCAAGATCCCGAGAGGAGAATGGAGGAGAAAGGATTGTGGCATGGCCATCCCCGCTGGGGAGTGATTTCTCACTCTCTGTCCCTCCTGTCTTTCTGGCAAGCACATGTGCCCTATAGCAAACACCTGTAAAAATAAAAATAAAGTAGGTGATTTATAAGGAGTGTGTAAGGAGTGGATGTTGCCTGGTTCACAGTGCTAATGGCTGGAAAGTCCAAGAGCCTGAAGCCAACCTTGGGAACTACATTACCACATGGCGACCAAAGCAACTGGGTCAGCAGGCACCTGCAGAGAGAGAGAGAGACAGAGAGAGAGAGAGAGGAAGAGGAAACAGAAGCCCTCACTTCTGTCATGTGTCCTGCTCACCCTCTCAGCCTCCGGATCTGCCTGGCCACATTGAAAGCAGGTCTTCTTCTGTCAGTCCACTGCTCACCGACAGCACTGACCCCTGGGTGAAGGCAATGCCCTCATGACTCAGTCACCTCCCAGACCTCCACTCCTACGATCCCACCACTTCCTAGCACCATCGCGTTAGGGAACAAATGCCAGCATACGACCCCTTGGTGGACAAGCCATTATTCAAGCCATGCAAATCACATGACGGTAATAATGGTTAGATGTGTTCATCCCTGGCGTTGTGCTGACTAATCATTTCGCGTAACACTCGCAATATCCCTTGTGGGGCTATGACACACCAAAGGCTGATGCCTGAGGACACTTGGCTGCTGTCACAGTTGTCTAAAAGTTCTGTGTCTCAAAAACTGCATGAGTTTGGGACCAGCAGGTGGCGTGGTGATTAAGGTGTTGGACACTCCTACATGACTGACCAGTTTGAGTCCCGGACCTGGTGGCTTGCTTTCTCACTTTCTAGTACTCTTTCTCTCTCTGTAATCTCTCTCTGGTCAAACTAAAAAATTAAATGAATGAATAAATAAAATTGAGTACATAATTCTAAAAAAAAAAAAAAGCATGAGTTGCATGAGTTTATTGTCTTATAACTCTGGAGATGAAAAGTCCAAAATAAAATCGAGATGAAAAGTCCAAAATAAAATTGAGAGCTATGTTTCTCCTGAGAAGAATCCTTCTTTTTCCCTTTTCTAGTTTCTAGAGGTTGCCCACCTCTTCCTTGACTGGGGGGATACCCTCCTCTATCTGCAAATCCAGCCATGCGTCACCTTCCCATCTCTGAGGTTGCAAACTGTGTTGCTTCTTTCGCTCTGACCCTCCTGCCTCCCTCTTTGCTTTGCCAGGACCCTGCTATGATGCGGGACCCACTCAGATGGTGCAGGGTAATCTCCTCATCTCAAAACCCACACTCGCATCTGCAGTGTCCTCTTTGGCATGTAAGGTTCTAGGTCCCCAGGGTCTAGGGATTTGGACATGGATATCCTTTGGCCTCCCACCACGGGTGAGCAGCAGACACGATATTAGGACTCTCAGGTTCCAGGGTCATCAGTGTGGGTCTTTGTTGCCCTGAGATGTGACTTTTCCTGACCACAGTCATTGCTCCTATCATGCAAAGCTGGCCATGTAGTCCCTACTCATGGCCATGTCCTATAGGAATTGCTTTCACCTCAGCTTATACTATGCTGCTCATGAACTATGAAGGGACTTCAAAAATCCATGAAAAAAAATGGAATTAAACTATAAATTCATTTTGGTGTAAAAAAAAAAAAAAGCACATACTTTTCTCATAACATGTATTTCCCATTTTTTTTAACTAATTCTTTCTTTATTTGTTATTATTACTATTTTTCAATCTGTCCAGAGAGACAGAAAGAGAGAAAGGGAGAGTAAGAAAGCAAGCTACCAGATTCGGGACTCAAACCGCTGAAGGCCATGTAGGAGTCTAGAGCCTTAACCACCACACCGTCTGCTGGCCCTTCCCATATACTATTTTAAAGTGTGTTTATGTACTTATTTACCTAGTGAGACAGAGGCACCCCCAGCGGGGTCATCGTGCCATGATCCACCTCCAACCTGAGCCACTCTGGTTCATGGGCATGTGTGTGCCTGGCGTGTACAGGAAGGATGTGAACCCAGATCTCTTCCTGTGGGTTCAGCTGAGCGTTGAACTACTGCTGCACTGTGTAATGCCTTCATTCCCCCTCCCTTATTAAACTCTTTTAAGTTGATGCATTTCTTCCAGAAAAGAGAAAGAGGCCCATGAACTTTTTAAAGACCCTTCATCCACATTGAATGCACATAATGAGAGGACTTGGTCCTTCCAAATTGAGCATCAGAGAGAACATTGAACTGAGCGTTGAAGAGCTTACAGTCTCCCCGTTCCCTCTCTGTGGCACTGTAGGAGGAAAAGGGAACAACTGGGAAGGAGGTATTCGGATTCCAGGGATCCTTCGATGGTCCGGGGTGATACAACCTGGTCAAGAGATTGATGAGCCAACAAGCAACATGGACATCTTCCCCACGGTGGTCAAACTAGCTGGATCACCACTGCCGAAGGACAGGTACTCGGATTCAGGGTTGGCTGGGGTGGTCTTGGTGTGTTTCAGTTTGCTGCATGCTGCCGTGTCACCTGTGGTGGGAGTTCCCTGGGTCTAGGACTTACTAGTAGGATGGCCAACATACAAGCTCCTCTACGAATTCTATTATTCCAGTGGAAAATAAACTCACAGTTCCTGAACAGTTCTGTGAGCTGGGATGTGGATGGCTGGTATTTAGATTTTGCTTTTAAGTTCGTTTTTGTTTGTTTGTTTTGCCACTGGGCACATGTGCTCACTGGAGAGAGACAGAAGAGACAGTAAGAGGGAAAGTGAAAAACAACCTCCCCAAGAGGAATGGCTACACTGCAATCCCTTCTCCTCTACTCTCTTCTCAGGGTTTTGAGCATGCATGCACATGTGTCTGGCATGATTTTCACTTGCTGGGTTCTAGACTCAAATCATGGTTGGCCATTGTGGGGAGTCCAGCGCCTTAACCACCACACCACCTGCTGGCCCCATAAGTCAGTTTCTTTATTGTTTTTTCTTTCTCCTTCCTCCCTTCCATCCTTCCATCCCTCTCTCCATCCTTTCTTCCTTCCTTCTTCTTTTCTCTCTTTATCTCTCCCTCCCTTTTATGAGACACAGAGACATAAAGAAAGAGAGACAAGGACAGATGGACAGGTACCCCCAATTGGGTCTCCTTTTCACAATCCACCCCCAGTCTCAGCTGGCCCAGATCACAGAGATCCTGAGATGTGAACCCAGGACCTTTCCCATGTGGGTCTAGTTGCATTATCTCTGCACCAACACCTGGCTTCTGGATAGTGTTTCATTGGGGTGCCTTGTTTTGGCACTCTGCTGATCCTGTCTCCCATCTTTCTGTCCCCAACATTGACTTGCCATGGGCAACTGGTCAACCCGCCTGTTGGCCTCCCACGTTTGCATCCATTGCCTTTCCTTTCTGTCCCGCCAGCGGCTCTTTGCTGCGTTATTGAGGAAGGCAGCTGGTTCCCCAGCTACTGGCCCTGTTTTCCCAGCATGTCTTCATTTAGCAAGTTCTAAATGAAATGTCTTCCTCTTACATTTAAATACAACTTCATATGGCATTGCCAATGGTCTCTTCTTAAGTGTTATTACCAATCTGAAGAGTTTTAAGTGAAGCACGCTGATTAATTGTTTTCATTAGTGTGGTGGCAGGCCAGGCAAATGTCACACAGGCAGCTGCAAATCTCGTTTCAATTCAGCTGCAGCTGACGGGAACAGCAAAGGGGAAGCCAGCCACAAAACAGCAGCTCCGCCAACGTAGTCTGTCGACTCTCAGAGTGTCCCTTCCACCGTTTCCAAGCTTGCTCCACTATTTTTTTCCAAATTGTTTTCAAAATTCTGCTTTAGGTATGTACCCCTCCCCAACACATGTAGGCACATGTGCACACACAGGAAAGACAGATGGAGAGGTTGACCATTCTCAAACTTGTAGCCTCAGAGACCCCTTGACATTCTTCAATGACTGGGAAACCCACCGGTCTGTTGTATATGTGGTTATAGTTCTCATCGTTGATCATATCAGCAATTCAAACTGGTTATCTCTTTTTTTATTTTTCGAAAGAGATTTTTGCTATACGGTGCATGCATTCACCAGAGAGACAGAAAGCGAGAAATCACCCTCCCCCCCCGGGGGGTGGGGGGGGAGAGGTCCATGCTGAAATTCCTTCTCTTCCATTCTCCCCTCAGGATCTTGAGTACTCATACACATGTGCCTGGCATGAATTTTAAACCGCTGGGTCTGGGATTTGACCTGTGGTCAACTATGTGGGAGTCCAGCAACATAATCATTACGCCAGTTGCTGGTCCCTAGAAGCAAACATCTTTTAAAACACATAGGAGTCCCGAGCACTCATCCCATTGGCCAATACAGTGATGTCCTCATCCACCCCGTGGCTGCTCCGAAGCCCACTGTGCACCGCTGAAAGAGTGGCAGCCAGAAAGACCCAGGACGCCTTTTCATTGTCGTGAAAACAATATTCGGCCTCTCAGACCTCCCGATAGGCTCTCGGGGATCCCCGAGTGGACAAAATGGATTCTCGAGTTGCCTGCTTGGTTTCAAATCCTTGTCTCCACTGCGGGTGAAGGATGAAACCTTCCTGGGCTCTGGCTCCTGTCCTGGAAAACAGATACAAACAGCATTGACATTACAGTGTTGATGGGAGGATTAGCAGAAGAGTGTGCGTAAAATGCCACACGGTTCTCTGGCAGTATCGGAGGGCATTGGAGCCAGGAGTCCCCTCGCGCACCCGAAGGCACGGGTGTTCGTGTCCCTTGAGTGAATGGTGTGGTATTTGCATATCACCTCCCCACATCCTCCCACGTACTTTACGTCTTTTCTACATTGCATACAATACCTAATGCGATGCCGATGCTATATCCATGCCGTCCGTCCTTGTCAGGGCAAGGAAAAATCCCTGTACGGGATCAATACAGATGCAAATGGCTTCTTCTTCTGGGTATTTCTGATGCATGGTTGGCCGAATCTGCAGGTGGGCAGTTTGTAGACGTGCAGGTGTTGTATAGACAGCATATGAATCTCTGCCATGTTTGTTTGGCCTGTAGTGTGGACATGTGTGTTAAGGTGTACATTAGGGCACATCTTTCCTTTTCCACATTTACTACTCATCCCAGGGTCAGAATATTGGATGCCTTTGTCACCCGAGAGACAGCACAGATTGGAGAACAGAAATCCAGGGCCAGCCCATGGTGCGGTGGCTAGGTGGCTGGCCAGCTATGCGGTTTGAGTTCCAAACCTGACGGCTTGAAAGATATGCCAGGCATGTGTGCGTGTTTGCCCAAATTCCTGAAAGGAGGGAGAGATGGAAGAGAAGGGATCCCTTGCCCCTAAGCAGATCTCTCTCTCTCTCTTTCCTCTCTCTCTCTCTCTCTCCCCTCTCTTTCTCTCTGGTGAGTACACATGCCCTCTGGCAAATTAAAAAAGAGAGGATGGAAGATAAGGAGGGAGGGAAAAAAAAAGGAAGGAAGGAAGGAAGGAAGGAAGGAAGGAAGGAAGGAAAACAGAAATCCAGCCTGGCCGTGATGACACAGTGGCCATGCAGTACCCTGCAATGCTGGAAGCCATATGGATGACAGGGGTTCAGTTCCTGGGTTGACCTGTCCAGCCCAGGCCTGTGCATGTGGCCCGTCTAGGCACACTTACTACAAAAAACGCGAACAAACTTGCAGAGAAAGGGCTGCAAGAGGGCTGTTTCTGTAGAAAACAGCAATACCGTGTGTCTTTGAAAGTGACTCCTCCTGTCTCTCCTCAAATAATGATGTCATAAAAACATTTCCGAGCCTACACTGTCGATGGGACTGTGCTATCCTCCAAATTATTGGTAGTTAGCCGTGAATCCATAGCCCAGACACCGTTTAAGAGTTTGGCTCAGCAGGGTCACATTCAGCGTTTCATGTGAAAATGCACTTCCCTCTGACAGGCCGTATTTCGGCAGTGCTGTTAATCGCTGGCTCTTGTAGCCGCGTGATTGATTATCACCTGCTTCTAGGAAAGAGCTGGTGAGGTCTGGGAGATTAACAAAGTCCAAAACATGGGTCTCTCTCTGCATTTGAAGAAAAAATGTCTGTAGAACTGACATTTTCCCCTTCCAAAAAAAAAAAAAAAAAAAGAACTTGGGACCAGCAGTTAGCGTAATGGCTATGTCACTGGATTCCCACGTAGTCGACTGCAGTTCGCATCCCGGACCCAGTGGCTTAAAACTCACGCCGGGCGCGTGTGCGTGCGTGCCCAAGATCCTGAGAGGAGAATGGAGGAGAAGGGATTGCGGCGTGGCCATCCTCCCTGGAGGGTGGTTTCTTGCTTTTTGTCTCTCTGTCTCTCTCTGTCTCTCTGGCGAGCGCACGCACCCTACAGCAAAAAAAAAAAAAAAAAAAAAACCCCCCAAAAAAAAAAAAAAAAAAAAACAACTCTCCAGAAAATAAATAAATAAATAAAAAGGACTTGAAGATTTTGCTTTTAAGTCCAAAAACAGTTTTATGAGATTCAGCGTTATTTTTAAAATTAGATCTCACCTTTCTATTGTGTTATCAGGAAAGTCATGACACGTTTTTGCGTAGAACAATGTAGGAAAATATGTCATGGCTTTCCCAACAACCTAACATGACCATAACCCAATTCCCTTCTCAGAAACGTATCTTGAAAAAGTAGCTCTGGGGCCAGATGTGGGTGCAGTATGAAATGATGCTCTGTGATGCTGACCCACACGGTTAGGTTCTTGGTTGGAGTCTAGCGGCCTCTCTGAGTACTCTGGGCACACGTGAGTCCATGATCCAGGGCTGGCCAAAGCCGAGGTAGTTTGTGGCATCAAGACACCCTTGTTGGAGGTGCTGTCTGTCTCTTGCTCATAGAATAAATAAACTTTTTTTAAAGAAAAGACCGTTCCTGAAGCTTGCAGCTGGCATAGTAGTTAAGGCACTGGACTCCCCACATGACTGACTATGGTTCGAGTCCTGGACCTGGCACTTTGCTTTGTCACGTTCCTTCTCTCTTTGTCTCTGGTTAAATTAAAAACGACAATCATGATAAATAAAATTAAATACATAATTCTTTCTTTAAAAAAACAGGGGGGGGTACTCCATATTCTTAAATCATGTGTTGAGTTTTGCTGGTGAATTAGAAAAACGAAACAAAACAAAAAAACTTAGCTCAAAAATGAAAGGTTGTGGGACCAGCAGTTCATGTAATGGCTCCATCGCTGGACTCCCACGTAGTTGACACGGTTCGAGTCCCGGACCCAGTGGTTTAAACTCACACCGGGCGCATGTGCGTGCATGCCCAAGATCCCGAGAGGAGAATGGAGGAGAAGGGATTGCGGCATGGCCATCCACCCTGGGGGGTGATTTCTCGCTTTCTATCTCTCTGTCTCTCTCTGTCTGTCTGGCAAGCACATGCGCTCTATAGCAAAAACCTCTCCAAAAAAAAAAGAAAGGTTGGGCCAGGAGGTGGTATGGTGGTTAAGGTAGCTGGTCTCCCACATGGCTAACCATGGTTTGAGTCCCAGACCTGGCAGCTTGCTTTCTTACTTTCCTTCTCTCTTTCTGTCTGTCTCTGGTCAACTTCAATAAAATAAATTAATGACAATGAATAAAATTTAGTAACCCTTAATAAAAATTAAAGGTTAAGAAAGTGTCCCAAAAAATGGGAATTTCATCTTGCTTTGGGAAGCTGGTGGCCGGGTCTTCTCTGAGCTTAGAGGTGGGCATGTCCCTTGTTGGAAACCTTCAGATTATTCTTCACCATCGGAGGCTTCTCAGGGTCTACCTACCTTCCCTCCTTCCTGAACAATCTCCACATATCTTCTCCTGTCTTTCGATCTCCTTCGGGATCTCATATCAATAAGAGCTGAGTCTTTCTCAAAAGGCATTTTTTGAAAGCTTTAAAAAACCAGGACCAGCAGTTAGCGTAATGGCTATGTCGCTGGACTCCCATGTAGTTGACCATGGTTCCCTTCCCAGACCCGGTGGCTTAAACTCACGCTGGGTGCGTGTGTGCGTGCGTGCCCAAGATCCCGAGAGGAGAATGGAGGAGAAAGGATGGCAGCGTGGCCATCCCCCCTGGGGGGTGATTTCTTGCTTTCTATCTCTCTGTCTCTCTCTTTCTGGTAAGTGCATGTGCCCTATAGCCAAAACCTCTCCAAAAAACAATTTAAAAAAAATATATAAGAACCGCCACCTCGGGTTGGAAACGGCGTGGCAGAGAACATGCTGCATATGAACAGAACCATCCCTGCCCTGTTTCTTTCCTCTCAGCGCATGGTGAACGGGGACGTGGGCTTGGGGAGGAAGCCAAGCCTGCCTTGTGGTCTTATTTTTAGCTTAGGATAATAGAATATTTTCGGTCTGCAGACTTCTGCACGCCACACAATTAATAACAAGCGTTCGGGCCAGAGAAATGCTGGGCAACGGGACTATAATTACATTCCTGGTTTTTAGTGACATCAAAATAAACCAGAGGCAAACCCCCAAGGGGCGGCTGACCTCGTAAGCAAGCTTACCCGAGTCAGAGCCGTGGTGGACTCTCCCAGCGTCCAAATGCCTTGCGGTAAGAGAGGGCAGCGATGCCGTGTTTTTATGGGGGAAGAAAATGCTCACGTTAAACACGCCAACTCTCTCAACATGCTCCTCCACCCCCTGTTTCGGTGTCAGAGGCCTCCTGGTAGCACTGACTCTCATTTCTCTCAAGTAGCAGTTAATTTATAGGTAAGCTGAAACAAAACTGGGGGCTCTTTATGGAAACACTAAGAAATCTTAACTTTGTTTATCGTTGCAATTTGGAAACCTTTATTCTTGGCATAATTAGCTACCCAATAATAGAGAAGATTTTTTTTTAGTGGGGGCAGGTGCAGACAGTGGTACAACAGTGAAACATGACACCCTGCAATGAGAAGTACTTGGGAACGTTCTGGGTTCACATCCAGAGACCTCCCTGGGTATGCCAGGCATGTATGCCCATGGTCCAGGGTTGGCTGAGTCTGGGGTAGATGGTACTATTTAAGACCCTCACAGGAATGCTTGTCTCTCTCGCCTTCTCTCCCTGTCTCTCTCCCTAATGGAAGAAATCAATAGGTTTTAAGGGAAAACAGTATTTTTTTTAAAAAAATCACTTGGGAACTATCCATCCCCGGGGTATTTAATATTATCATTATTTTTATTTACATTTTAATTCATTCTGACCTAGAAATTGGCTTTCATCGAAGTCTGTTCATGTTGCTTCTTGCTATATATTAACAGTATTTTTGACCCAAAATGTCAAATATGTTTTCTTTCTCTTCTTTCTTTCTTCCTCTTCCTTCCTTCTTTCTTTCTTCCTTCCTTCCTTTTTTTCTTTCTTCCTTTCTTTCTTTCTTTCTTTCTTTCTTTCTTTTTCTTTTGCTCTCTCTCTGTCCTTCCTTCATTGTCTTTCTTTTCTTTCTCCCTTCCCAGAAGGTTCGTGTGCTCACCAGAGACACACAGAGAGAGGAAGACAAAGCACCCCTCCCGCCGTGGGTAAAGGGCATATCAAAATATCAAAATCCCTTCTCCATCTCTCCTTCCTTTTCAGCATTTTGGGCATGTACGCACATGCACTTGGTGTGTTTCACGAGCTGCCAGATCCAGGACTCGAACCACACAATCAGCCATGTGGATGCCACTGCTTTACCCACCAGACTATCGAGCCAGTTTGGTGCCCTTATTTTTTTTAGAGGTTTTTGCTACAGGGCATGTGCACTCGCCAGACAGACAGACAGAGACATAGAGACAGAAAGTGAGAAATCACTCCCCTGGGGGGATGGTCATGCCACAATCCCTTCTCCTCCATTCTCCTCTTGGGATCTTGGGCACACACGCACACACGCCCGGCGTGAGTTTTAAGCCACCAGGTCCGGGATGCGAACTGCGGTTGACTACATGGGAGTCCAGCGACATAGCCATTACGCTAACTGCTGGTCCCGGTGCTCTTATTTTTAAGAGCCCTCTAGTAAACGAAGAAAACTTTCACTCTGACCATGCGGTAGACAGAAACGTGGGTATAGAAGCAGCGGCCAGGAGAGAAAATGCCGGCCACCTGGGTCTCCACCTGTCGGCTCTGACCGGGCACATCCTCTTGGGTTTATTACTTACACTTCCCAGTCCTCGGCCTCCTCAGCGCTACCATGGAAATAACCATCGTCCCAGCTCACGGTGGTCCTTGGAGGTTGAATGAACTGACCCCTGAGTGGAGCTGGGACCAGTGTGGTCACTTGGCGTCCCATCAAGGTTGGCTCATCTGCTCCACGTGGTTCACTTCATCAGGACCACGCGCTCTAGCGTGCTCGCTTTTGCTCAGAAGGACGTTGCAGACCTCCGGGTGGGTTAGTGCCAGGGCAGCATGGCTGACCTTCCAGCTGATGTGCACCTGCTTTGTCTCACAGGGTCATTGATGGCCGGGACCTGATGCCTCTGCTCCAAGGGATTACCCACCGCTCTGAGCATGAGTTTCTGTTCCATTATTGCAATGCCTACTTGAATGCCGTGCGCTGGCACCCACGCAACAGTGAGTAAACACAGCTTCCCGCTGCCCAGGCTCTGCACCGTCTACACCATGAATAGTGGGATGAGAGATGGTGCCGTGGGCTGGGTGCTGGTGCCCCTTCCCCGCTGCCCAGGCTCTGCACCATCTACTGGTGCTGTGGGCTAGGTGCTGGTGCAGCTGCCAAACAGCTAGGCCCACATGAGAAAGGTCCTGGGTTCGACTCCTGGGGCCTCCCTGAGCACACGATCTCTCAGGGTGGATTGCAGAACGAAGACCTTATTGGGTTCTCTCTCTCTCTCTCTCCCCAAAGAAATAAATAAGTAAATGTGAGGGAAAAAAAACCTTACCACCAAAAAGGTGGAGTACAGACCATGCATTGGTAAAATGAACACTCTATGAGGTGGCCCCACATGGGGAGGTTCCTGGTTCAAGTCCAGAGAGCTCCCTGACTAGGCTCGGCTTGCACTTGTCCGTGACCTAGGGCTGGCTGAAGCCAGGGGTGGACCATGGTGTCACCCCTGTTAGGGGTGCTGAGTCTCTCTCTGGAGAAATAAATAAATGTTTAAGAAAAGCCTTGCTCCACAGAGGCCACCAGATCCCCCAAGTGCAACTTCTCTGCTCCACTGTCTTTTTCCTCTTCTCTTCTCGTCTCTCTACGCCCCTGGTCACAGAGTTGTACAGCTAGGATATCAAAGGGTCGTGTTATGGGTCCCCAAGCCCCACCTGTGTGTCCTCTTTCCAGCAGGGAGAGCTGCCTTCTCTCAGCTGGGCACTCACTGCAGCTCCCTCCTTGGCTACTCTGTGCCCTGCAGGTTCCCTGCCTGGAAGGACTCCTGCCTCTGCCCCCGCAGTGTCCCTGCCACCCCACTGAGGCATCACCCTGCATGCTTGCTCTCAGAAGCACTTTCTACACGCCGCGATCATGGTGCTGCATGCTAGGGAATGAATGAATGACGGCATTACTTCCCGTGTTCGTCTGACTGGCGCCCCCTTCGTCGGACTGGCGCCCCCTAGGTGGCATAGTCTGTAGCATACAGAATTGCAGTGCTGGAAGCCACATGGCTGACTGTGAGTTTGAGTCCCCATCCTGGTCAGCCAGAAACATGGCAGGTGTGTGCATACCCACGGTCCCAAGGAGCTGGAGGGCTAGGGGCTTACAGCATAATGAGACCCTGTGGGGGTTACTTCCCTCTCAGGCTTTCTCTCTCTCTCTCTCTCTCTCTCTCTCTCTGTCTCTCTCTCTCTTCTAACACACACATACGTAGGTGCACACACTGTCATGAACAAAAATGCATATCCTTCTCTCCCCAGCCTCCAAATGACGATCCTGATAGGTTAAATCTATATCCCTTGCTCAGCACGTATATTTGCTGGATTTAAATGTGTTAAGCCAAGTTGAACGGCCGCGTCGTTATCACATGTTCAAACCTGCCCTTCCCTGCATTGTGCACTTGATCGGTAATAGGATCTGTGTGGATTTTCCGATACGGACTTTACAGGGCTATTTCTGACAAGCATGAAGGGATGAATGGACGTGGTAACCCTAGGTGTGGTTAGAGACTTCACACATTTTTTAAAAATATGTATGTATTGTGGGGCTGCCAGGTGGCGTGGTGCTTGAGGGTGCTGGACTCCCACATGACCTACTGCGGTTCGAGTCCCGGACCTGGTGGCTTGCTTTCTCTCTTTCCTTCTCTGTCTCTCTCATACATATGCATATGTATGTATGTATTGTATAAGCAAGAGAGTGAGTGAGACAGAGAGAGAGGTACTCTGAATAGAGTCCCTGTGCCACAATCCACCCCCAGCCTCAGCCAGCCCCGAGTCATGTGCACATGCACGCCTGGTGTACACACGGAGGTCTCTAGATGCAAACCCACAATCATCCCACAGAGCCTTGTGTTTAAACACTGTGCCTTGGGGGGAGCCAGCAAATGGCACAGTGGTTACGTCACTGGACTCCCATATGGCTGACCATGGTTCAAGCCCCAGATCCTGATAGCTTGAAACTCACACTGGGCATGTGTGTGTGTGCCCAAGGTCCTGGGAGGAGAACAGAGGAGAAGGGATTGCAGGGTGGCCATCCTCCCTGGGGAGAGATTTCTCACTTTACCTCTGTCTCTGTCACTCTCTTTCTTTGGTGAACCAAATCCTCAAAAAGATACAATAAAATAAACGCCCATAGGCGTCTTCTTCATATCTTTGACATAGAGAATTATAGCGATCTTCGTGGCATGGAGACACTGTCCATGGTGGCTGGACTCTCAGTTCCCTCTTCTGAGGTGAAATCAAACTCCCCTCTCCCATTGTGCTCTTCGGAGTTCTGCTCCGAGAGCCTAGACACCCACCCTGAGGCACGCCATAGCCTCCCTGCTATTGTCTCCTTCCTAAACTTGGCAATTCTCACACTGTCTTTCAGGGAATCCCACTCCCCACCCTACCCACTCAGCCAACTGACCGAAGGCTTGTCCTTTAAAGAGCAGCCCATTATTTTTAAAGTGGGAAATTGCAACCCTTCCATTAGCCACAGAAATAATCCTGGGTTTATGCTTCTAACATTTCCTCTTTAGATCTGGCAGCTTCCTTCTGAGCTATTCCAGAAGATGAAAACAATACACATGGGCTTGGCCTTCTAGGCCTGAAAGGTTTTAATTCACAGATCTCACCCACGTGTCAGCAGTTCCTTATCTTCATGGGAGACTGTTTCTGTTTGGGTTTTTTGTTTTTTTTTTTTAAGAATTATTTATTTACATGTGCTCACCAGAGAGATAGAGAGGGAAAGTGAGAAAACTAGCTTCCAGGTCCAAGACTTGAACTGCTGTCAGCCATGTGGGAGTCCAGGACCTTAACCACCAAGCCACCTATAGGCCCAGATTATTTATTTTTTGGAACAGTTTATAGCATTTAGGGCTGAGCCCGCTAATAAATGAGAACTCCACTATTCTTGATTGCTTTCTTTTTTAAAATAGTATATGTCATTTTTTCTTTCTTTCTTTCTTTCTTTCTTTCTTTCTTTCTTTCTTTCCTTCCTTCCTTTCTCTCTCTCTCTCTCTCTCTCTCTCTCTCACTCTCTTTCTTTCTTTCTTTCTTTCTTTCTTTCTTAAAAACCTAAAAACAAGCAAATGTCTTTCTTTCTTTCTTTCCTTTCTCTCTCTCTCTCTCTCTCTCTCTCACTCACTCTCTTTCTTTCTTTCTTTCTTTCTTTCTCTCTCTCTCTCTCTCTCTCTCTCTCTCTCTTTCTTTCTTTCTTTCTTTCTTTCTTTCTTTCTTTCTTTCTTTCTTTCTTCTTCTGAGAAATACAGAAAGATAGGCTCTCCCAAGTCATGATCCACCCCGGTCTCGGCTGGCCTGGATACAGACATGCACTGACATCATCTCCTGAACCTAGACTTTTCCCGAGGGGGTCCAGTGGCATTCCCACTGATCCAGCGTCTGGCCCCCTATTTCTTTTTCCATGGCACTTGCGTGGAGTATGAAGAACACAGTTCTCTGACCCCGGGGTGTTTGAGGAAGTACGGCCTGTCTTGAACCTTGCAGAACTGCGTTTGAAAACAGCCTAACCCCCGGTTAGAGAAGCCAGAGGGAACATGTTGGATCGGGAGCTGGAGAACACATTCTGTGGAGGAGTAAAGAGAAAAGGGACAGGAAAAAGACAAAAAATAGGAGTAAGTGAGAAAAACAAGACCCAGTTCCTGATAGGCAGCTGGCCCTGGGATAAAATTTCCTTCGTAGATAGACAAAAGCGGCTTTTGCTTTTCATGCAATCCCTTAATATCCCACGCTTTAGACTAGTAACACAAAAGGAGAGATCACAGTATCTCAAGGCTAGAATCATTCATCTGGCTGAAGGGTCTCAATCCATCATGGAGTTTGTGAATCGTCCGTTCTTTAGTTTTCAGATTATATCTGAATTTAGTATCCACGTTTGCTACCTTGACTCTCTTACATAGCTTTGGGTTTATTTATTTAGTATTTGGTCTATTCATTTTTTCCCCAAATTTCTATCTATTAACTAGTACTTTAGCTATTTCTTTTTTTCTATTTATTGAGCACCTGCCATGCCAAATGCACTGTATAAGCACAGGCATCTGTCAGCGAGAAGAACAGACAAAATTCTCTGCCTGAGAGTTGCTTGCGTCTTAGAGCCGTGTGTGTTCATTTCTGGGAGTACAGAGGTACAAAGAGGAATTGTGACTCTTACCCATACAGAGCTTCCTGAAGAATATGAAACCAGTTCTAGTCGAGTGAGTCCGCTTCGATCATTGCAGGTGTATGGCCAGTAGTCACTGGACTCTGTGGCCCACTTCCCACAAGACTTAGGGATCGCAGAGTTGCTAGCCAACCTCAAAATATTTAATTAGAAAAGTAGTTCAGGATCATGGCTTAGTAACAGACTGCTGTGTGCTAGAACCATCTTCTTGTTCAGGAATCTTGCTGGCCAGTTGTCGGCCATCTTGGAAGCATTTACACCATGGCAATTGGCAAACACAACAGATACTTTATTCCTCCCTCAGAGATACTAGTACACTAGAACTGATTGACGATGTTTTTTAATTCCCATTTGTCCCGATTAATAAGAGGCTTAAATATCATAATTCCACACTTACTAAATATGAAGGGTCTTCAAAAAATGTATGTAGAATGTATGTTATGAAAAAAATTATGCATCAAGTTCCATTTTTTTACACCAAAATAAACTCACACTTTATTTTCCCACAAAAGTTGTGAGAGCTCCTCATACTTATTTTCAAAAATGTTAGAATCAGGTTTCCATTTCCACCCTTCTGAATCATGAATCCCTTGTAATTTTTATACCCAATGACTTCTATATAATTTAATTGTCTCAGCAAGTTGAATGACATAATTTAATTATGATCCGATATCGTTATTCCTATTGCATTTTAAATGAACTCATGAAAGCATTATTATAACATGGGTAACTTTTCTTGCATTAAAAATGGGAATGGTGCATTAAAAGGCACTGTTCGATGTGTATTAAAAATTTTGGCTTTAACTTTTGA